ACTATAGGTCACCGTACGGCCTTCAACAATGAACAAAGCCCATACCGCATATAGTCACCTATAAAAGCCCCCGAAATGACAAATGTAAAACAATTCAACCGAGAAAACTAATTTTAAGAATATACAAGTTCCCGTGCATGATTTATTTAATTAAAAATTGAATTTTAAGTGGGGTATATATATAAATATTTCTATTCATATTCATATGCATAAAGCCTAAACACAATAAATAATCATATTATTCATACATGTATATATATAAATATAATGCAAACCAACCCAATACCCCATGGCCACTGGACATGAAATATCCAACCAACCATCCATCCGGCAATCAATTTTCACTTCAAACATTTTGAATTGTAATGCAATATTTTGCGGGAAGTGACAAATTTGTATAAGTGTAAATGCTTTTATACTGGCCTGTAACTAATCTGTCCGGCCCCTTGCTAGCTTGTAAAAAAAAATCATGTATATTATATATAGGTGCATAGATTCATACATGTGTCTCTTTACCCGTGTATCCCCATACTGCAGATATTGAAGATTCTGTACCGTATTCATTTTGGCCCTGCATCTAAAAAACTGCATGGTGTGTGCATTATTTTTTTTAACATGTACTTGTATTGTTTGGCCCAGTGAACTTGTGTTCAATTATGTCAGTCAGGGGTACTACTTGTACAAGTAATCTTTATTTACTTGAAGAAGTAAAAAAAATATACTTATATAAGTTAAACTAGAGGCTCTAAAGAGCCTGTGTCGCTCACCTTGGTCTATGTGCATATTAAACAAAGGACACAGATGGATTCATGACAAAATTGTGTTTTGGTGATGGTGATGTGTTTGTAGATCTTACTTTACTGAACATTCTTGCTCCTTACTATTATCTCTATCTATAATGAACTTGGCCCAGTAGTTACAGTGGAAAATATTTTGCAAAAATTTACAAAAATTTACAAAATTTATGAAAATTGTAAAAAATTGACTTTAAAGGGCAATAACTCCTTAAGGGGTCAATTGACAATTTTGGTCATGTTGACTTATTTGTAGATCCAACTTTGCTGTACATTATTGCTTTTTACAGTTTATCTCTATCTATAATAATATTCAAGATAATAACCAAAAACTGCAAAATTTCCTTAAAATTACCAATTCAGGGGCAGCAACCCAACAACGTGTTGCCTGATTGGTCTGAAAATTTCAGGGCAGATAGATCTTGACCTAATGAACAATTTTATCCTCGTCAGATTTGCTCTAAATGCTTTGGTTTCAGAGATATAAGCCAAAATCTACATTTTACCCCTATGTTCTATTTTTAGCCATGGCGGCCATCTTGGTTGGTTGGCCGGGTCACCGGACACATTTTTTAAACTAGATTCCCCAATGATGATTGTGGCCAAGTTTGGTTAAATTTGGCCAAGTAGTTTCAGAGGAGAAGATTTTTGTAAAAGATTACAAAAATTTACGAAAAATGGTTAAAAATTGACTATAAAGGGCAATAACTCCTTAAGGGGTCAACTGACCATTTTGGTCAAGTTGACTTATTTGTAGATCTTACTTTGCTGAACATTATTGCTGTTTACAGTTTATCTCTATCTATAATAATATTCAAGATAATAACCAAAAACTGCAAAATTTCCTTAAAATTACCAATTCAGGGGCAGCAACCCAACAACGTGTTGCCTGATTGGTCTGAAAATTTCAGGGCAGATAGATCTTGACCTAATGAACAATTTTATCCTCGTCAGATTTGCTCTAAATGCTTTGGTTTCAGAGATATAAGCCAAAATCTACATTTTACCCCTATGTTCTATTTTTAGCCATGGCGGCCATCTTGGTTGGTTGGCCGGGTCACCGGACACATTTTTTAAACTAGATTCCCCAATGATGATTGTGGCCAAGTTAGGTTAAATTTGGCCAAGTAGTTTCAGAGGAGAAGATTTTTGTAAAAGATTACAAAAATTTACGAAAAATGGTTAAAAATTAACTATAAAGGGCAATAACTCCTTAAGGGGTCAACTGACCATTTTGGTCATGTTGACTTACTTGTAGATCTTACTTTGCTGAACATTATTGCTGTTTACAGTTTATCTCTATATATAATAATATTCAAGATAATAACCAAAAACGGCAAAATTTCCTTAAAATTACCAATTCAGGGGCAGCAACCCAACAAGGCGTTGTCTGATTCATCTGAAAATTTCAGGGCAGATAGATCTTGACCTGATAAACAATTTTACCCCTGTCAGATTTGCTCTAAATGCTTTGGTTTCAGAGATATAAGCCAAAATCTACATTTTACCCCTATGTTCTATTTTTAGCCATGGTGGCCATCTTGAATGGTTGGCCGGGTCACCGGACACATTTTTTAAACTAGATACCCCAATGATGATTGTGGCCAAGTTTGGTTAAATTTGGCCCAGTAGTTTCAGAGGAGAAGATTTTTGTAAAAGTTTACGGACGACGGACGACGGACGCAGGACGACGGACGACGGACGCAAAGTGATGAGAAAAGCTCACTTGACCTTTCAGGTCAGGTGAGCTAAAAATCTGAATGTCTAAGGGACATTACTAAGCCAATTTTTTTTTACCTTTACAAGTAAATAAAATACACTTGTATACACTGTGTATCATCGCCACCGGAAATTGGGTACTAACGAAGCGGAGAGAAATGGAAAAAAAAGTAAACAAGGTAAGAATTCATTCAATTTAAAGCATTTCTACTGATTTGACGAGGGTACCGCTTAAGAAATGATTTTCTGATATATAATTCTTTAAATTATTAGGGCGATAAGTACAAAATTAAGACAAGATTTTGTGTTATACTCAAGAACTTGCCACTTAGTACCTGAAAATTTCGAGGTCGATCGTCCTCTGTCGCCCCATTGGCAAGATATTCAACTGTTTTTCATTATTTTTTCAGACACTTTTTTAGATTATTATAGTGTGGCATCATATTTACTGAAATTTGTTGTCAAAATGATGGTTTTTAAAGAATATAGACCATAAAAAATAAAGTCTAGGGTACGGCAACTTGCTCATGTTGACAAATTTACTGTATGGCAACTTGTTTTCAACTGTATGGCAACTTGCTAATTTCAAAATATTTATTTGCCGTCTTTTTAAAGAAAATAAAGTATTAGGTTCAAATATCTAATTATGCATTTGATAAAAATACAATTCGCTTGATACCATTTAAGATGTATACACAATATAAGGCTTGAACACAGTCCTATTACATCTTTTACATACCTGATGTATACAATATGAATACGGCATATACAAAAGCTGGCAAATGTTGTAACTTTCGGAAAGGCATGTCACTGTTTTATTGACCTGTTGTTATGCCCCTGACTAGCGTTAAATGTTACCCATGTCCGTCCGGCCCGTCCCTCCCGTCCGTCCAGAAAGTCGCAAAAATTGGTTTCCGTTCTCTAACTTTAGTATGCCTTAACCAAATGTTTTAAAACTAACACGAAATGCTTATCACCACAAAACACAGATCAAGTTATAAATTGGGTAGCGTCACTGTTACCGTTCTTGAGTTATGTCCTTTTATAAATGAAAAAAAGCTAAAGCTGTCGTTTCTGTTCTCAAACTTTAGATTGCCTCAACCAAATGTTTTAACCATACAACATTAGTCAGCATTTGCATATAAGTGATGAACATTTCGGGGATGGGTTGTGGGTGGAGGGAAGGAAGGAGGTAAGGGCAGGAGAATTTTTCCGCATTGAATATTTAGAACCATTAAGTGAATGAATTCTCTTTCAACTTTCAGGTAAAATGAAATATAAATGAATTATCATTCTCTGCAAAAAAAAAATGTTGTATTGCTACACCACGGCACCATGTTAAGGGAGGTTTGAGTGCTCACAAACATGTTTAACCCCGCCTCAATATATATATATGTGTCTGTCCCTGGTCAGGAACATGTAATATAGCGGCTGTCGTAAGTTGCTGCCTGACAAATTTGTTCATGATTTTGTCATAAATCAGGCAATTTTGATACGGTATGGGTTTTGTTCATTGTGAAGTGTATGGTAACCAATAGTTGGTCAAATCTATTTCATTTGGACTTGGTTTGAAAGTCCTCTCAGTGAAAACCATTCCACGTCTCCTTTGTCAATTAATGTTATTGTCTTATTTGTAAAAGGCAGATACAGCCAATATATTAGAATAAAGAACATTAATTTTCTAAAAAAAAACTTCATCTCTATATAGTAAGATATGTACAAGCTCGGTGGCTAACACTGTTTGAATTTAAAAAAAAATATTAACCTTAGATTAATCATTTTTGGAAAGAATGAAAGAAGAATCCGATACAAGGGATACAAATCCGGCTGTGGTTACGGCATAAACTATTTATATAAACTTTCTACTTGAGAATAAAGATGACCTTGTATGAAGTTTTTTGGTTGTCATCTTAATATTATATACTTATTAATACAATTCACAAAAGCTAGCATCTTCGACTTGTAAGTTTAAAGAATTATAATGAAATAACATTTAATAAGGACATCGTCCTGAATATGCATGAAATATTTGCCACTGGACGTTAAGCAACCAACAATCAATCAATCTAATAAGGACAGGTTGAAATATTTTTGAATCCTGATGGTGCATACTCATAAATTCTTTTGAAAAAATCCACGTAAATTTAAATGTTGATTTGATAGCGTTCATTTATTTATTTGCCCTCGTAAACAGTTTTGTTAAAATACTGAAATCGGTAAATTCTTATCGTGAACGAATAAGTCGGGTACACCTTTTTACATTCAGGCGTGCTTAAGTTGCACTTTTTTCTTCTTATTAAGAAAAATGATTTTAATTTTAGCATCTATCTAAAGATTAGATTATTTACACACACACACAAATAGGGCTTACTGTTGATTTTGAAACTCTATGAATTCACATTTATATTCAACCAAACAGATAGGCCGAGATCCATACCTTTATAAGTTTCAAAACAGAGAAGGTGTGTTTGAAAACAAATAATCACGTACTGCTATATCTATTAAGGCAAATGCAAGTCTTACTTGTATTAATTATATAATTTTAATTGGCACAATATCACATTAAAATTTACTGAGAAATATTATACATAGTAATCATGAAAATGTACTACTGAAACAATGAAAATTCGGACGAATACACTTCTTTTCACTACCCCTCCATCTACTCATTTAAGTTTAGGCCAAACAGCCTTAGCAACAGTCTTTTATTATTTTTTCCCTTTAAATAAAAAGATTGATTGAATTTACTTAAACTAAAAAAAAAAAATCTTATTTTCAATACGAAACAAGAAAATTAATTCGAAACACAATTCATGATTTATTTCTCCTAATTTTCAATGAAAAAAAAGTATTTTCTTCACTTTTCTTTTAACAAATTATTCAAATCAGAAATTTAAAAAATAAACAGTAAACAATGTTGAAGACCGTACCTTGACCTATAATGGTTTACTTTTATAAATTGTGACTTGGATGGAGAGTTTTCTCATTGGCACTCATACCACATCTTCCTATATCTATTTAACCCAGCACATTCTTTATGTGTCTGTCCGAAGTCACGAGCCTGTAGTTTGGCGGTTGTCGTTGGTTCATCTCTATCATATTTGTTGTTTTTCGTAAATTTTTTTGTTATGAGTTAGGCTGTTAGTTTTCTTGTTGAATCCTTCCACAATTTTCATGTTGGGGCTTTTTATAGCCGACTATAAGGTACGATTTTTCGTTGTTGACGGCCAAACGATAGCATATAATTGCTTACATACACTTTATTTGACCCTGGTGGATAGTTATCTTATTTGCAATCATACAACATCTCCACTGTTTATATTTAAAAAAAAAAACAAAAAAAAAAACAGCACCAACAAAAGATGAATGGTCGGTTTTTTTTTTATTGAACTTACAAAATTTCACCCTGACAACAAATAATACAACAGTCGTTAGTATTATAACGATATATGAATGTATTTAGGATAATATGGTTGAAAAATTCCTTTTTGTCTTTAAAAAACACAAAGTCAAATAGAGGTACGCAACGACGACTTCTGAACGAAATTAACGGCATATATTTTATAATATTTGATAAGTAGTTTATTTTGTATATTTGTAAGCCGGTAAAGCTTTGATACAGCCAAAATATCGTCACTTGATATTATCTAAACAGTGATTAATTTCATCTTTAAATTACAATATATTGCAAGTCGCCGTACAGACAAAAGTTGTTATTTTGCAATTCGCCGTACAACGTCCTGTAATTCGCCGTACAGTAAACAAACAATGTTTTGGTCCACATTCTTTTAAAACATCTTAATGACAACAAATTTCAGTCAATATGATGTCACACTATAATAATCTAAAAACGTGTCTGGAAAAATAATGAAAAACAGTTGAATATTTTGCCAATGGGGCGACAGAGGACAATCGACCTCGAAATTTTCAGGTACTAAGTGGCAAGCTTTGGAATATAACATAAAATATTGTCTTAATTTTGTACTTATCGCCCTAATAATTTAAAGAATTATATATCAGAAAATCATTTCTTAAGCGGTACCCTCGTCAAATCAGTAGAAATGCTTTAAATTGAATGAATTCTTACCTTGTTTACTTCTTTTTTCCATTTCTCTCCGCTTCGTTAGTACCCAATTTCCGGTGGCGATGATACACAGTGGTATATGTATCCTACAAATTTACTTATATAAATATATTAATTTTACTTCTTCAAGTAAATAAAAATAACTTGTACAAGTAGTACCCCTGACTGACTGTATGTAAAGTCTGCATGAATAACTAGAATGTGCATGTTGACTCATAATTTAACCTTTTTCAGATTTAAAGTTAAATTGTTAGAACAATGAATAAAAATAGGAAGGCTTATAAAAGACAGTGGATGCAAGGTGCACGTGCTCTAAAGAAAAGTTACAATCAAGAAGCTCATTTTGAATATGAGGAAGAAAGACAGAGAACATTTATTCCAAATAGCCAAGAGCAAAGTTGCAGTACATCAAATTATGGAACTGTTAACAATGAGACTGATGATTAACAGGGATTTGTAGAATCCGATATCATCTTTCGAAACACTTCAGAAACATGTGTTGTCAATGATTCCGAATGGGACTTAATTGACCAACATGTCATTATAGCCTCAGATTCAGAAGATGAGTCAGAAAATCTAGAAAAACCATCTTTATGTGAAGATTTAACAACATTGGTAAACCAAAATAATCTCTCACATAATGCAACAGACCAGTTGCTAAAAATGCTGAAGGGTCATGGTTTAGATCAGCTTCCATCTACTGCAAGATCATTGTTGAAGACCAAACGAAATGTTGAAGTCATTACAAAAGCCGGAATGGAATACTTTTATTTTGGACTAGAAAGGGCTTGTCAATAATTTAGAAAAAAATCCAAGCAATGAACTTGAAAATGTCTGTGAAATAGTGGTTATCTTTAATATTGATGGGCTTCCATTATTTAAGAGCACACGCACTTCATTTTGGCCAATATTGTGTGGAATGTATTTTGAGTCGTATTCAGTGCAAGTATTTCCAGTAGCATTATGTTTAGGACATAGCAAGCCAGATAATTTAAACTTTCTTGATGACTTTATCGAAGAACTAAATAGACTCGAGCAACATGGATTTTTTTTCAAAGAAAAGAATATTAAAGTAAAAATATGTGCTTTCATTTGTGATGCTCCTGCCAAAGCTATGATCAAAGGTATCAAACTCTACTCGGGTTATTTTGGTTGTGACAGATGCACTCAAACTGGCGTATGGAATGATCGTATTACCTATCAGGAAATAGATGACATTGAGCTCCGAACAGACATTAATTTCAGAAATCAAGCACAAACTGAACATCATCATCGAATAACCCCCTTACACAACTACCAATAGACATGATAAAATCATTTCCCAGAGATTATATGCATCAGGCTTGTTTGGGTGTTATGAAGAGGCTTTTGCTTCTCTGGTTAAGAGGAAAACGTGACATTAAAATCTCAGCAAATCATAAAGATGAGATCAGTAGAAACTTGATCCAACTAAGGAAGTTTATTCCTAGTCTGTTTGCCAGGAAACCACGAACGCTTGATGAAGTTGATCGATGGAAGGCCACAGAATATAGGCAATTCCTTTTGTATTGAACCCAGAATTGTACTCACATTTTCTGACTTTAAGCGTAGCCATCAATATTTTAATTTCACCTCAGTTATGCAGACAACATCTAAATTATGCCAGAGATTTGTTGAAATTTTTCATATCCAAAAGTCGAACATTATATGGACCAGAATTTTTAGTATACAATGTGCACAGTTTGGTGCATATAGGTGAAGATGTTGAAGAACATGGACATCTAGACTTATTTTGCGCCTTTCCATTTGATTGATTGATTGATTGTTGGTTGCTTAACGTCCAGTGGCAAATATTTCATGCATATTCAGGACGAGAACAAGTTCACAATAAATACAATAGGTAGGTTCTGTAATAGAGGCGTCTGGGATTGAGGTCGGAGAAATTTAGACTGCCACGGGAAATGAGGGTATATTGGATAGGGACAGAAATTTAGCCTTGCAACAGGTCACCTACGGACCCCTCAAAGAGTTGTTGCAAGGGTTCTTAACGTGCAAAGAGCGTGGCACTCTCTTTACACGAGGCATCGGATTTAACGTCCCCATTCTGACCGGACGTGGCTGCAAATTTGTACATCCCGCACAGCCAAACGGACGCCCCACTTTGACGAGGGTTTTACCGCCGGTCGGAGGAAGACCAATGGTGACCATACTTCTATTCCCCAGTCACCCTTTGGGGCCCTTTCCATTTGAAAACTATATGCAAATGCTAAAAAAAAAAAATGGTACATATTGGAAAAAGTCCACTTGTACAAATTGTTAAAAGAGTGTTCGAGATGGAAAATACAAGTAATTGCCAACTTGCTTATTTGATAAATTAAGTGACTCATAGAAGACCAAATAATGGTTTCGTTTTGACTGATCAGTCATGCTGTGAAATTGTTCAAAAAACTAACCAAGAAGACGACGAGGGATATGAGATGTTCTTGTGTAGGGTGTATAGACGACCAACATACTTGTTTCAACAACCTTGTGATTCAAGATTGATCGGAGTGATGAAATGTCATCGGCAACATTCTGTGGTGAAAAGAATTTCAAGGATTGATTGATTGTTGATTGCTTAACGTCCAGTGGCAAATATTTCATGCATATTCAGGACGAGAACAAGTTAACAATAAATACAATAGGTAGGTTCTGTAATAGGGGCTTCCGGGATGAAGGTCGGAGAAATTTAGACTGCCACGGGAAAAGAGGGTATATTGGATAGGGACAGAAATTTAGCCTTGCAACAGGTCACCTACGGACCCCTCAAAGAGTTGTTGCAAGGGTTCTTAACGTGCAAAGAGCGTGGCACTCTCTTTACACGAGACATCGGATTTAACGTCCCCATTCTGACCGGACGTGGCTGCAAATTTGTACATCCCGCACAGCCAAACGGACGCCCCACTTTAGCAAGGGTTTTACTGCCGGTCGGAGGAAGACCAATGGTGACCATACTTCTATTCCCCAGTCACCCTTGGGGGGAATTTCAAGGAAAAATCTCCACAGACAGGCCATCATGATTCCAAATGATCACAACATTGTATTTCTAGCAGTACTGCATGATTTTTAACAGTTTGATTGCAGGTATGTAAATCAGTGTTAAAGGCAACTTACAAGTTAATGCACTATGAATGATACATACTACAGTGTGTATAAACATTTAACGTGTAGTACACATTAATTTACATGTACATTTCCAAAAATAAGAGCCACAAGAATTTAGTCACGTGAATAAGTTTTGCACGAAAACAATTGATCTGCACTGTGCACGTTTTTGTCGAATGTTCTTAATACACATTGTATATGCAATCTCCTGTACACTTTAGATTAACAAAATTTAGAAGTTGCAATGCATTCATGAGTCACCTATGCAATGTCAGTTGCAATTCAATTATAAGGGCCTGTCATGAAATGATGGCTCCCTATATATACATACATTTGTGTACATACATGTGTATGTATTTATCATTCTGTTTGTAAATGTTTCAGTAACAACTAAGTTTGCCTTGACTGTTTTGAATAAATTTTATACAATATTAAGCATCACTAGAAAAGCTTCAAAAATAACTTGTTAAGCCATTAATTTTAATTTTATGGTTTTAAATAAACGCATTTGCGCTCACCCATGAGCATAAATGTTAGGCCCGGTGTTTCTGCCGTGTTTTGGGAAAAATCCCCGAGTCCAGTTCATCAGTGGTCGACTCAATAAGTTGTATATTGGCGTGTTCTTTATGCTTTTTTGTTTTATTTCGTATGTTATATTGGACCATACACCGGTTGTCTGGATAAAATAGTAGTTGATTTTTATTTTTTTGCGAGCTCAGTATCATATTATAAATCCGAAATCAAACTCAAATTTCCACATTTTCAGATGCCAGCTTATCAATATGTTGTGGTTGAATTCCTAGATGAGGGGTCAGTAGAGGTTGTCCACAAAACATGGTAAGAGAGTGAAGAAAAGGTAAAATATGACTTGTCATATTTGTATGTATTTGAAATAAGCAAAATTGCTAAAAAAAAATGTATGTCAATATACATGTACACTGTAGTCTATTATACATGTTTATGTGACGTGATAAGCCTGACCTAAATGCTGTAATTTTACTGAAACAAACCAAATATGTATACAATTTTACATGATCATGTACATTGTAACTTTAATCTGGGATAGTAAATGAACATAACTTAAAACATTAAAAATAGTAATAGGTCAAAGAGATTTAGGATCTCCATGAATTATTTTGATCACGCATAACATTTACTTCATGGACATTGTTTTCAACACTTGTAACACTTTATTATAGGGAATGTTCTGTTATTGGCCAAGAAAAAACAGTCAACAAAGTGCCAAGAAAGGGCAAATTCCTGATAAGATTGATTGATTGTTGGTTGCTTAACGTCCAGTGGCAAATATTTCATGCATATTCAGGAAGAGAACAAGTTCACAATAAATACAATAGGTAGGTTCTGTAAAAAATTAAGGGATTAAGGTCGGAGAAATTTAGACTGCCACGGGAAATGAGGGTAAATTGGATAGGGACAGAAATTTAGCCTTGCAACAGGTCACCTACGGACCCCTCAATGAGTTGTTACAAGGGTTCTTAACGTGCAAAGAGCGCGGCACTCTCTTTACACGAGGCATCGGATTTAACGTCCCCATTCTGACCGGACGTGGCTGCAAATTTGTACATCCCGCACAGCCAAACGGACGCCCCACTTTAGCACGGGTTTTACTGCCGGTCGGAGGAAGACCAATGGTGACCATACTTCTATTCCCCAGTCACCCTTGGGGGTTCCTGATAAGAAATTCTGGAGGAGATATCGTATAAGGATATTCAGTTACACAGGTGAGACGTCGTTCATATTACCTATTTTAGTGTACTTAGCAACATTAGTAACGTGCAATCATGTTTTTGAGCAAACGTCATATTGTGATGTTGCTGGTTTCACTGAGGTCATCTTTTGTTCCTAGCTGCATCTCATATACACAATGTAACTTAATAAGCTGTATATGATCTAGGATTGCGTTTTATTTTAATACTTTATAAAGTTTTCCAGTCATTGTCTTTTATCATCAGGCACAGACATCACTAAAATTATGAGATTTAAAAGTTCATTCAAGGATTTATTTACCACAGACTGTTCATAGCAGCTTTTAAAAAATCTTTATATGTGTTCATAATTTCCAAAAAAAGGCATTTACATTGAAATTTTGTTTTATCAGATGATTATGAGAAGGCACTTAAAAGGCGTCAAAGGGCCCTTGAGTCATCAAATGTGGACACCAATGATGAGGAAGTGCCACAAGAAGAAACCAGGAGGGCAGTGAAGCAACCTCAACGATTGGGGCATGATTTTAGTGATTCAGAGGGTAAAGTAGACTGATTACTTATTCTATTGATCAATAATTTTCAAGAGTTTGTTGAAGAGATTCTTCAAATATCTTTATCTTACATATAACACTGAATAGATTTTGTTGAATCAGTTGATATTTACAGTGAAATCATAAATTTTACTACATAATTTTATTTTTTTGTACATTGATTGCTTCTTTATTGATGTTATGACATTGGAATGGTTGCACAATTTCTTCTTAAATAAATATCTTCAATTTCTGCTTAGATAAATATCTTCAATTTGTGCTTAATAAATATCTTCAATTTCTACTAAATTTTTAATAGTAAAAAAATATATTGTAGAGGAAGAAAACACACCTACAAGGCGAGATGGAGATAGAAGAAGAACTCCATCCCCACATCCTAGAAGAACTCAACTCCATCCCCACATCCTAGAAGAACTCCATCCCCACATCCTAGAAGAACTCCATCCCCACATCCTAAAAGAACTCCATCAACAAGTGCTAGAAGAACTCCATCCCCACATCCTAGAAGAACTCCATCAACAAGTGCTAGAAGAACTCCATCCCCACTTACTAGAAGAACTCCAACACCACCTACCTATAATCCTTGTAAGTATTGTACAAAAAGATATTTAACTTTCAGAACATATATGTAAGTCTCTGGGTAAATTCAAAATTAATTGATCAACTGATTCAAAAATGGTTAGCAGCTTTTTACCCTCAGCCGGGTAAAACCAAAGACTTGAAAATTAGTATTTGCTGCTTCTCCGCCAAGCACCCAGCATTAAGGAGTTAGAGCAAAGACTGGTCAGCCCGGAGTCAGAAAAAAGTGTCTGGGGAAGGTAACATGTCTTCCAGTGAACTGTTACCTTGTGTGCTTGCACGTTACAAATCCGTCTCAGCGTGTCGGTCTAGTACAAAGCAGGGTTAATATTCATTTCTCATTATCATGTTCTCGTCCTGAATATGCATATGACTTGCCACTGGACATTAAACAACTATACATCCATCCTTATTGTCTAGATTAGCTGTGTCTTTTGATATTTGATCTTGGTTTCCCTTGATTAAGTAAATGTTCATTTCAGCTTTATTCAGTCAATTGCATCAGTTTCATTTGTTGTGTTTTTATATAGATTTTACATTTTATTAGCTTTAGCTTACCATGGTAAAACTTCAAACAGACATAGGTCCAGGTCTCCATTAAGCAGACATAGGTCCAGGTCTCCATTAAGCAGACATAGGTCCAGGTCTCCATTAAGACCAGTAGAGAGTAGAAGGAGGTCGTTGTCAACACCTGACAGTGGAAGGAGGACAAGCACAATCAGAGCAACACCAGAGGGTCCAGTAGTAAGAGAGCTAGAGAGAAGGCATAGGGTTTTTCCTGACTTTGAGAGGGACAGTCAGGAGGACGTTAGCACACCACGAAGTAAGTAACATCATGGTTGCCTAATTTTCAAAAAAATGCAATAATTATCAAATAGAAGTGTTTAGGATAAGTAACTGTTCATGAGTTATGTCCCTTTATTAATTTATATGCTTGTGTCCCATTGACACATTTTCATTTATGTTTTATAAAGTTTAACTCATACAAACTGTTTGACAAAACTGATCTGAAGGGTATTGATCACAATGGTTATTTCTTTCCATTATATATTATTATAGGTTTTGAAGACAAAGTTACAATGGGGCTGGCTAGAATAGAGAGGACTCTTATAGAACACTCTCAAATGTTGAGAAGACTAATCAGTGGCCAACCATCAACATCTGCTGATGGAGTTGTAGATCTTGATGATTTAATACCAAATCCTGTGAAAACAGAAGTTGAGCTGGCAGAGCTATCTGCCAGATTTCTGGAAGACAGGGATTTCCCCAAAAAACTGGTAAGACCACTCTTCTTATAACTGTGAACTTGTGCAGAAAAATATCCAAGCTAAAAGTTTCATTGGTATTTCTGTTCTGTATTTGGTGAAAATCTGGGAAATACTTAACAATTATCTGGGAATTGGCAAATGTTTACTTTATTCTATTCTTTGTTAAATGAATGTTTTACACTTCCAATATCAAGGACATATTTCTATCTTTTCAATAAACTTTTATTACCGATAAGCTATATTATACTGATAAAGCTAAAAAGGAGTATTGATTTCAAGAAAAAGCAAAAGGAATATTTTTGAATATGATACTGGACTGATTACCTTTTGATGATAATATTTTTATGTTTTTTTGTTGATGTTCACAAATCATTATGTTATATCAGGTACGTGGTCTAGGAGCCTTAGGAGGTAGCAGTATAGGTGATACCCTGAGGAGAATAATGAGACGTATAGGGAGCAACTCCCTGTGGTCTCTTTTCAGTTTGAAGGGCAAGAACAAAAAAAAGTCCCATAAGTCTACAAGATTATTACTAGTAGGTAGTTTTCATTACCTGTGTACAATTTTTCTGTTTTTAAGTTATGTCAATAGTTCTGTAATCATGCAAAAAACTTTACATCAATATAATATCTCAATTCTTCTGAAAATAATGCCATTTACTACTAAGACTATTGGATTTGTTTTATTCTAGAGAGATATCCTATCACACAATATACATCCCTATTACAGGATAATGTTTTTTTTTTTAAATTCAAGATTATTTAATAGTACAAGTATGTCATGGTTATGTCTATTTGGTTTATATTGTTATATTTGTATTTATTTTAAGTTACTCCAGATTGGTAGGATTTAATATAAAACAAATTTAAAAACTAAAATACATTATTTTCATTACAGAGTCCTGTATTGTAGTTCGTAGTAATGGGAAAGAATCTGAAATAGATGAGGCTCTGTCAGATTTCCTGAGACATGCACCACACCAAGCAGGTAGATTAAAGTACAAGGTATGATATTATTTATCAATCTTTAAAAAGGTAAAAATCTCTCGATACTGCTGACACTTCAGTTATAAATTCTAATAGTTAATGTAAGGAATGAAATGGTATTTTTGATAGCTTTGAATAAATCATTTATTCAGATCAATGGTAAACAAATCTTATATATATGGCAGTATCAACTGCTCAATTTGTTTAATGTAAATTATTTTTCAATCAATATGGCTAGACAGACAATTTAAAAAAAATATATGTGTATTTTCGGTCTTAACATTTTAACAAGCCTGGACCAATAGACTTCTGCTTTCTAAAAACTTGTGGATAATTATATATATATATATATATAAATATGTTTTTTTTTCAGAAACCTGCTCCAGCTGATAACATACCACCATCTCAAGTGACTACACACCAACAGCCCTTATAGGAGGAGACATTTTTTTTTTTATCTAATATGTTTATATTTGAATGTATATAAAAAACTTAATATTCTATTACTACATTTTTATTAAATGCCATAAATCCAAGACACAATTGATGAGTATTTCTGTCGAAAAGAGTTTTACAAAATAAATTTTTATAACGGTATTTTTTACTCCTGAAGTCAATGAAAGAAAAGGGGTGTAGTGTAGTTGCCAATGATACAGTAATACAGTCCTTCGTTTAAAAAACACAAATTTTGAGGTTAAGGAGGAGAAATGACCGTTTCTATATATAGTTGAAATTTGGTATTTAAAGCAGTATTTATCGAATTAAAACATTGGATCCATGATAATATTAGTCATATAATCTGCAATAATTTGCTTTTCTTACATTTTTGTAATTGAGGTGCTTGAAATACTACCCATTGGTGGAGTTGTTTTGTACATTTTGCTTGGGTTGTTGTCTCTTGGAGTTTGACACATTCCATGTCTGATTCTTTATTCTATGTACATGTAGCAGGATTTTTATGAAGGGTAAATTGAGAGGTATCAGGATGTATAATATGCAGTATATTTTACAGAATGAATGAAAGATCTGAGCAGGTTATGATTTACCAACATCCATATAACATATTAAGTATGTTACTGTTGAACGTTCTCACAACATCCAAGTAGGAACATTATTATAACCATCCTGGAACATTATTTTAACGTTCCAGAAACAGTACTGCAGAACAATCTCACAACATCCCAGTAGAAACATTATAATAACCATCCTGGAACATTATTTTAATGTTCCAGAAACATTTTTCACAATGTTCCTGGACTGGGAGTCCACACTTTTACATCCTAGGAACGTTATTTTATAACGTTCTCTGAACAAAATCAAAACATTACTGGAACATTGTAGGAGTGTTTTTGTTTTTTTTTTGGGTTGTCTCATTGACACTCATACCACATCTTCTTAAATCTTTTAGCATTTGTAAATCTGCCAGAGACAGTGAATATAATACCAAGATAATTATATTTTTTCTAATTATTAAACCCCCAAGAGTGACTGGGGAATAGAAGTATGGTCACCATTGGTCTTCCTCCGACCGGCAGTAAAACCCGTGCTGAAGTGGGGCGTCCGTTTGGCTGTGCGGGATGTACAAATTTGCAGCCACGTCCGGTCAGAATGGGGACGTTAAATCCGATGCCTCGTGTAAAGAAAGTGCCACGTTCTTTGCACGTTAAGAACCCTTGAAACAACTCTTTGAGGGGTCCGTAGGTGAACTGTTGCAAGGCTAAATTTCTGTCCCTATCCAATATACCCTCATTTCCCGTGGCAGTCTAAATTTCTCCGACCTTAATCCCTTAATCTATTACAGAACCTACCTATTGTATTTATTGTGAACTTGTTCTCGTCCTGAATATACATGAAATATTTGCCACTGGACGTTAAGCAACCAACAATCAATCAACAATCAATCTAATTATTAATAAGCTGGCCATTAAATGTGAATTTTTCCTTTGATATCCTTCCTGTGTTATTAAAAATTAACACGGGTTTTTTTCATGTTAATTTCTAGTCCCCATTTATTACAATAATTCATTAAATTGTCCAAACAATTTTGTAATCCAGATGAAGTTTCAGAAATCATAATGAGGTCATCTGCATACATTAAACAGTTAAGGGTACTGTTGTTCAACAAAACTGGGCAACAGTTAGAATCAAAAATTTCTGGTAAATCATTTATGAAAAATTTAAACAAAAGGGCTCAAATGATCTCCTTGACGGACACCAATATCTGATGGGAAGTTTTCAGTTAGTGTGTTACTATTAGTTTTTACACACAAAGATATATTTTTATGCATATCTTTTGTAATTTTAAAATAAATCACTCAATCCGAGCTTCCTCAATTTACAAAATAAGGCTAAGTGCCAAACCTTGTTTTATAGATATTTGAATTTATAGATAATTGTATTTAATGTTACCTCAAATCGGTCGCAATGTTAATTGATAGTTTTAAGTATATTTTACAATAAATTAAACATTTTAATGGATAATTGTATTGGATACACTCTTAAATCGGTCACTTGTTCTCATTAATTGTACTTAATGTTACTTTGACGCGTCTACAAATTTTCTATAGTTAATTGTATCCAATGTAACCTTTAATCGACCGCTTTGTTAATTGATAGTTTAAGCATATTTTATTAAAACGTGTAAACCCGCTCCATTTGTTTGCACCTGTCCTAAGTCAGGAATCTGATGTTCAGTAGTTGTCGTTTGTTGATGTGGTTCATAAGTGTTTCTCGTTTCTCGTTTTTTATATAGATTAGACCGTTTGTTTTCCCGTTTGAATGGTTTTACACAAGTAATTTTTGGGGCCCTTTATAGCTTACTGTTCGGTGTGAGCCAAGGCTCCGTGTTGAAGACCGTACTGTGACCTATAATGGTTTACCTTTATAAATTTTGACTTGGATGGAGAGTTGTCTCATTGGCACTCATACCACATCTTCTTATATCTATTTATTGTAAATAAGAACAATTTTTTATTTATAATTGTATTAGATGCAACCTTAAATCGTTCACTTTTTCCAAATAGTTGTATTTAACGTTACCTGAAATCGGCTACTTTGTAATTTGATAGTTTCAGTATATTTAACAATAAATTTGACCACTTTTTATAGTTAATTGTATGAAAGGTGATATTAATTTGGCCAATTTGTTGGCTCATAGTTTGACTATATCTTGCTATAAATTCCAACATTTTTTTAAAAATAAATTAATTAGATGTCACCTTAAGTAGGGCACTTTTTATTGATTATTTTACTTCATTTTCCAATAATTTCCACCAATTTTTATTAGATAATTGTACTTAATGTAACCTTAAATCGGTCATTTAAATTAAATTCGACTACTTCCTATAGATAATTGAATTTATAGGAGATTGTATTCGTTAAGAACTTTAACAATATCTTTGAAATTTGTTAACAGAAATTTGTATTAAAGGTGACCTTAAATCAGCCAATTGGTTAATTGATAGTTTTACTATATTTAACTATAAATTCTAACATTTTTTAAAGATAAATTTTTTAGATGAAACCTTGAATCAGTCATTTTCTTTATCATTTTTTTCTAGTCCATTTTCCAATAAATTCGAACATTTTTTATAGAAAACTTTTTAATGTAACATTAAATTGGTCACTACAATAAATTCGACCACTTTTTATAGATATTTGAATTTATCGATAATTGTATTCAATGTAACCTTAAATCAGTCGCTTAGTTAATTGATAGTTTTAGTATATTTCACAATAAATAAGAACAATTTTCCAGATAATTGTCTTTTACGTAACCTGAAATCGGCAACTTTGTAATTTGATAGTTTTAGTATATTTTACAAAGCAGTTGACAACTTTTTATAGATAATTGTATGAAAGGTGACTTTAAATCGACCTATTTGTTAATTAATAGTTTGACTATATTGTACTATACATTCGAACATTTTTTAAAGATCAGTTTATAAGATTTCACATTAAATCGGCCACTTTTTTATTGATTATTTTAACATATTTTCTAATAATTGCCACCACTTTTTAATAGATGATTGTATTTAATGTTACCTAAAACCGGCCACTATAATTTAATTCGACTACTATTTATAAATATTTAAATATATAGATAATTGTATTCAATGTTACCTTAAATCGGCCGCTTTGCTAATTCAATTTGATAGTTTTACTATATTTTACAATTAATTCGACCATTGTATTTAATGTAACCTTCAATGGGCCACTTTGTTTATTGATCTTTTTACTATATTTTCTAATAAAGTCGAAAAATTTTACAGATAAATTTATAAGATTTTACCATTAATCGGTCATTTTCTGTATTGACTATTTTTCTACATTTTCCAATAAATTCGAACATTTTTTTATAGATAATTATATTAAATGTAACCTTAAATTGGCCACTTAAATTCAACCTCTTTGTATAGATAATTGTATTTACCTAAAATCGGCCACTACAGTAAATTCGACACGTTTTAATAAATATTTGAATTTATACATACTTTTATTCTTCGAGTATATTTTACAATATATTTGACAAATTGTTATAGATAATTGTATCAAATGTGACCTTAAATCGCAAATTTGAAAATTGTTAGTTTTACTGCATTTTACTATAAATTCGAACATTTCTTAAAGATGAATTTATAAGATGTCACCTCAAATTGGCCACCTATTTTATTGATTATTTTACTACATTTTCCCATCATTTCCACCACTTTTTATAGATTATTGTACAAATCGGTCGCTATGTTAATTGACCTGAATGTGTGATCTTGGGTTGAGTATATATGTAGTTTTATCTATGTCATTTAAATTCGAAAGGTGCATATTTTCATTTATCAAAAAATCAAAATATTGTGACACAAATTTTTTTCAAATACCACCTTAAAAATCATTGTAAATGTGTTGTCTTGAATTACCGTTATCAAAATTCATCATGCATTAAATATTTGCCAATGGATGTAAAGAAACCAGCAATCAACCAAACAATCTTATACTCGATATATAAATATGTAGGTAAATATTCATTAAATGGTAATAACTGATCCTACAATTTTGTCTTTTATTTAATTAATCACAATAATAAATTATCGCTACATTTTCTGAATTTACAGTATCTAAAGTTTAATTTACCAAATTTTATTTTATACAAGTAGAACATTGATTCAATTATGGAACAATTACCTTACCCACCTCCTGCCGAAAACCGAATGCATTTCACTTTCGTACGTGTCTCTTCATCAGCTTGAATTTTTATTGTCCTGAACAATGGACTAATCATTTGGGGTCAGATATAATCCTAATGAAACGTACTCCTTTTGGTGCTTTAATTCTGTAATTTTAGTTTTAAAAGACATCAATTACTGTCAACCCATCAAAGAATTTATGGTCCTGAGACAGAACCTTAATAATGATCAGCAGAGAACATTTGGAGAAATTTTCTTTCTCCACATTTATGTACTTTGACGATAAAAGGGCTTATAGGTTGTTTACAAGTCAAAATTACGAT